TATGGTGAAGCACATTGCTCTCCTGCTCTTCACCAACTGCATTCTCTACTGCCCCGTGGCTTTCTTGTCCTTTTCTTCTTTACTGAACCTCACGTTCATCAGTCCTGAGGTCATTAAGTTTATCCTCCTGGTGATTGGCCCGCTTCCTGCATGTCTCAATCCCCTTCTGTACATCCTCTTCAATCCCCATTTTAAGGAGGATTTGGGGAGCCTGGGAAAGCAAGCCCACTTCTGGACAAGATCGAAGCACCCAAGCCTGATGTCTATTAACTCGGATGATGTGGAGAAACAGTCGTGTGACTCAACCCAGGCCTTGGTGACATTCACCAGTGCCAGCATAGCCTACGACCTGCCTTCCAATTCTGGGTCACCGTCAGCTTATCCAGTGACCGAAAGCTGTCATCTTTCATCTGTGGCATTTGTCCCATGTCTCTAATTAATATGTGCGAGAAAAAAAGTTTCCAAAAATTGAAAACCCCAAAATGTGAGATTGAGTACATCAGAACAGTAACTAAAAAGGGCCAAGTTGAAACTTGATTTTTTTTTTTAAAAATCTCTCAGTGTGAAAAAGCTGAAAACTTGTCGAGACTGGAGAGTGAAAAATAAGTCTAAATGCTGCTTGTATAATTTTTTCAGCAAAGAGATAGATCGGACACATTATTTAGGTAAGCCCAGAATTCTTTTTTTCAAAGCAGATTGAAATGTTCAAAAAAGATTCTCCATGATTTCAGTTGAATTGTTTTAAAACTCACCAATCTAATGGGGGCAGCGGGTGGATCTTTGCTCATGAAAGAGGTTTTAAAGCCCCAAACCCCTTAAAAGATGGTTGGAGGTATTCGGACAGTAAGAGTTTTAAATGGCCTCTAGCACCAAGTAAGTGAAGGTTGTGACCTATAGGGTTTCATTTTAATGACCACACAGAGATGTTTCAGTCCTCCTTCTCCTTTCCTCAGAAAGGATCCTTCCAGGTCACCAATCCCCCCAGGAATGGCTCCTATAAGGCATTATTAATTTACTCATATTCACATCATTTTTAGAAATGTCAGATTTTATTTGTCAGCACTAGATGGTTCCATCTTCAGTGGAGTAAAACTGCTTACAAATATTTTTAAAAGAAAATGAACTTAAATTCTTAAATTGTCATGAAGGCAGCCCTCTACAGGCAAGCTTTGCATGTTGAACTCATTTTTAACTCCCTGGTGCCCAAAACTCAGAAGAAAAGTCCTTTGCCAGCAACGGACATACCTAGTGAAGATGGTAAGCACCCTGGGATTTTCTTTTCTTTCTCCTGGGGGAGTGCACATTTTTTTGCAGAAGGTTCTATCAGTTGATTCAAACTGATGTACATCCTAAGGTAACAATCAAGTGCATACATGACATAAATTAAATCCACTGACATAACTTCTCACACCATGTATCTCTAGTCGCTCTAGCAACGATGTCTGAAATCACTTTGGACTCAACAGAGACTTGGTAACATATTATCTTGTTTATTTAGCTTGGTTATAGTTGTGTTGTCTTTGATCAACCCATTTGACGTCAGGAACATGACTTTTCTGCTTATTCCATATTTAATACATGTGTTAGGTATTTTAAGAGGCAAAATTATTAAATACTAAAGGTCAAAGGATAAATTCGTAATTTTATTATACTATATTAGCCTCAATACACCTAAACCAAAAGACTGTTAGGTAGATTTATTTTTGTATAAGCATGTTTATTTTGATCAGATGTTTTAACTTGGAATTGAAAAAATACATTTATGAGATGTTTTATAAGATGTGTAAATATAGAACTGTATTTATTACTACAGTAAAAATTCAGTAACACAAAGGACCATGATAATAAACCATGTACAGTGGCATATTCTTCCATATATATTGTGTTTCCCTGCCTATTTTCTTTAAATTCATTAACTGTATATAATATATGCAAATGTATAGTACTTGTAAATAGAATCCAAACTTGCTTTTCTATTGGGTACAAAATAAAGAAATTTGTATTAAAATGTGTGACTGTAACACAAAATATTTTCAAATATTTTATTAAGTCCATAGGTAAATATATGGTTTCCTAAATGTTTTTTCTTTTTGATGCATACGTACATTTGTTATCTAAGTAGTTACACTTCAAAATGTTAGATATTCTGGACTTACCTTAAGAAGTAAATCTTTCACAAAAACAAAAGAAAATATCTTTACCAAGTCCTGGACTGTTTTAACTGTGATTGATAAGCCATTTTCGTCAAATGACTCGGTGAAGTTTATTGTCCCCAGTGATAGTTTGGATCTCATAGCCATAACAAATCCATCTTAAATTTATTCAATATGAACACGACTTTTCTATCATTTTTCCCTCTAAAGGAAATATATTGCTTTTTTCTCTGACTTTTCAGTGAGCTAACAGGAGCCCCATGTTGGCTCACTTCTTTCCTGTTACGTTTCTAGGGAACCAAAGCAGAGCACCACCTAGACTTTCCTGTTGCTTCTTCTACCTTAAGTCCTTTGTTTCACTGCACCAGTTCTAAAAAGCTACTCTCAAAATAAAAAATAGAAACATATTACTATAGATGATGTATTATAGAATTGTACACTGGAAACCTATATAATTTTATTAACCAATATCACCCCAATAAATTCAATAAAAATTTTTAAAAACATATTACATGACCATGTCAAGGTCAAAACATAAGGACATGCAATCCCCAGGGCACAAAGAAACATGCCGTTCTCCTTCAGCTTCTATTCCCCAAAATGTTACATATGAAATGACTTTTCTAAACACCTCCCAACTTCAATGGTGATTCTTGATCTCCCCTTACAGGTTGTAATATGAAACCATCAACTACTAGTTGGAGGCCCAGCATTATTATTAAGATCAACCCTTATTTACTGAGGACCCACAGGGTACCCAGCCCTGAGTTTCCCAACCAGCCATCAGATATAACCACCTACTTCAACCTAACCTAGTTAACAGGCATCCGATGGAGTCCTACTGTACTTCCACGCTTGATTAGTCTTCGGCTGAAAGGAAGACTACAACACAGTCTCACTCCTCTTAATAACTCCTCTTAGCCCAGGCAGTGGATACAAAAGTTGCCTCCAGAGCAATGGATTTCAGTTTTCCCTCTCAACATCCTTGCTTTTGGGTGCCCAAAGTTAAGAACATGTCCTGAAAGCCCACCCCTTTCTCTTCCACCCAAGAAAAGACAAGTCAATGATGTAATTTTTTAAAGGGAAAAAACCAAATCCACTCAAATTTATTTCTTTAAAAATCCCCTAACTCTATTATTTTATTAGCAAAATCTAGTTATTATACACCTTCCACAAAACACTGCTCTATTAAGTGTCTACTAAGTGCTCTACACAACAATACAGTAAATCAGAATGACTGGAATTATATCCACAAATAAAGAAATCTACAGTGAGAAGAAGAAAAGATATATAATAAACATTTGACAGGCTAAAGAACAGCAAGAATGAAAAACAAAACATAACATGAAGTAGTTCACAATGTTTTACGCTTTCAAAAATGAATTCATTCAGTCAACGCATATTGTGTGCCTACTATATGCAGTGTATACTATGCACACAGAATAACAAGACAAGGTTTGGAATTTGTATTCCAGTGGATGAGAGGCAATAAGCAAATAATATAAACAAGGAAATATCTGAAAGGAACATGAAGAAAATGAAAATGAACAGCATGACAGGGATAGGCATGTTACTTCAGATACAGAGGTCAAGAAGGATCTCTCTAAAATCTTATTCAAAAAGAAGCTACCTTTGCTTTAACATTCAACCAGTTACATCAATTAAACTCATCATTTTTGGTCACCTACATGCAACAAATATTTCGAATGATGTTTTAATACAAAAATATATTAAGTGGCTGTTATTACACATTTTTTCTCTCACAAGTGTTACTGGAGAAAACTATTCTCATACAAAATAGAAAACATCTTTTCATTTTGTTTTGGCCAAAAATAGAAAAACATGTAATTAAAGGCAATAAAATTAGCAATACCCTGTTCATTTAGAACCAGAAAATCTTGAACATCTAAGAAAAGTACAGTCTTGCTTTTTTGTTAATCTTATCATTACATGTAGCACAGGGGCCTATTGGCTTAGACAGGGCTCACTGTGATCATTCTAGCTCCATTCATGCTCTTCAGAATTCAGAAATTTTATTTTATAGGTCAGCTACATCAGAAAAAGAGACCATCTCCCTCCAAGCCACTAAACAGCAACAACTTTCTCTCTTGGGCATTAGAGGCACTAAAGTTCAGTCAGGTTATGGTAGCGTTTCCTTGTACATAAAGTGGTCAGGGGCTCTGTGACCACAACCTTATTTCAACGTCCTTTTTGTGAACATTTCTGAAGATGTTGAACTCAGATTCTATACTGGCTCATTCATCTCAAACACAAGTTCTAGCATGTCTGACCCTTGTAGCCAATTAGATAAGATTATAACAAAGATTTAGCCTGTCTGGATTCAGAAACTGGGAGAAAACAGGTGTGAAGAGCTGGGAAGCACTGTGGAATACAGGTCCTCCAACTCTAGTCACATTAGGACATGACTTCCCATTCCGGTTTCTACATTTTAAGTGGGACATTAAAACGATGCTACTCCATGAGGACAGTGAAGCTAATGATATGGGACAGGGAAATAATAACTCACAAAAAAACAATTGAAAACACCAAAACTTTTCACCTGAAGAAAAAAAAGTCTAAAGGAAATATTTGAATAATTGAAGTGTACTTTTTAAAAATTTTATTTATTGATTTTTAGAGAGAGAGGAAAAAGGAGAGAGAAGGTGGGGGGGCAAAGAGAGAAAGAAACATTAATTTGTTGTTCCACTTTTTCATGCATTCAGTGGTTGCTTCTTGTATGTGTCCTGACCAGACATGGAACCTGCAACCTTGGCGTATTGGGACGACACTCTAACCCACTGAGCTGCCTGGACAGGGCATTTCTGGTTTTAGAACCTGAGAAAACCAGAGGAGAGTGCAAATGCAGTCCCCCACTACCATGAATCATGCTGTCGGGTTTCCCACATTCAGGCAAATCTCAGGGGTCACACATCCAGAGTGCAATGAATAAGCCTCTCCCTGGGAAAACCACCTCCATGATCATGGCATCTCCCCCGCCAGGTAAGTATGTAAGTGCTTTCTTAAGTACCAGCTCATAGCAGGCCAAATAGTAAAATGGTCAAGCCCACGGGCTTGCTGCCAGACCTGCACTCAAATCCTAGGTTTAATACTACCTTGCTACCTACTACCTACTCAGCCCCAATCTTCTCTTCAGTAAGAGTACCACCAGTCTTATAGGACTGGAAGTATGAATAACTCAGTGTGTATAAAGTTCTCATCACAACACCTGGAAAACGGTAAATATTTGATCAATGGTTACTGTCTTTTTCCCCTTTCTCAATATGAGCAAAGCAGGACTGGCCATTTTACAGATGAAGAAATTGAGAGTCAAAGTGGTAAGTGACCCCCTGAGGTCAAAGATGAGGAGCTAAGTTTAAAACTTGGGTTTTATTTAATAGAACGAGAAAGGCAGTCATGGAGTAACCTGAATTATCCTTTCAGCGAACAAGTATCAGTTGGTGAATGATTCAGGGAGAGAACTGAGGTTAATTTTAAGCAACATTAGTCATCAGATGTCTTGGATACCAAAGAAAGTCCATTATAGTGAGTGAGAAAGTAGATCAAATAATGGTTAACTTCTCAATTCTCAATGTTTGAAATGAATTATTGCTTTAGTTTTCTTCAAAGGCATGATATTGTGATTGATACAAGTATATTTTCTTTTGGTCCCCCTCCATGGCACAGAGCTTCTAAAACCCTTTGAATTTCCCACCCTGGCCCGTGTGGCTCAGTTGGTTAGAGCGTCATCCCATGGACTGAAAGGTCACAGGTCTGATTCCCAGCCATGGCACATACCCAGATTGCGGGTTCCATCCCCAGTCAGATAGCGTACAGAAAGACTGCCAATCGATGTCCGTTTCTCACATTGCTGTTTCTCTCTGCCCACCCCACCTCTCCAAAAAAGGGCAATTAAAAAATGCCCTTGGGTGAGGATGAATCAATCAATCAATCAATCAATCAATCAATCCCTTTGAATTTCCTAAATGATGGGAACCAGGAAGGTGTTATGTTAATAAGGTGAATTTTGGGAAGTCCCTAGGTCACGGTAAGGATTGCCAGGGAAACTAAGCCTGTGATTATAGGGGTGGAACTTTCAGCCTCACTGCCTCCCCTACTAATCCCTCCTTACCCCCAACCGCCAAGAAGGGTAGAGGAGCTGGAGACTGAGTTTAATCACCAACGGCCAATAATTTAATCATCTGTGCCTGTGTAATGAAGCCTCCATAAAAAACTAACGGACAGAATTCGGAAAGCTTCCCCGTTGGTGAGCATGTGGAGATGCGGGGAGGGTGGTGCATCTGGACAGCTCATTGAAGCTCCCTGCCCCATCCCTTGCCCTGTGCATCTCTTTCATCTAGTTGTTTCTGAGTTGTATCCTTTTATAATAAAACAGTTATCTAGTAAGTAAAATGTTTCTCTGAGTTCTGTGAGCCACTCTAGGAAATTGATTGAACCCAAGGAGAGGGCTTTTGGAACGCCCCATCTATAGGCAACTTGTCAGATGCACAGATAACAACCTGGGACTTGCAATGGGCATCTGAAGAGGTGGTGTGGGGACCCTCACATCAGAATTAGTATCAGAATTGCAGAAAGAATTTTAGGAATTTAGTAAATTGCTGGGGAGGGCAGTAAAATCTTCAATGAACATTCTGAAACCTAGAGCACATAGCTCAGTGTCATGAGTGATGGCTATTCAGTGACGACGAAGGTAAAGACTTGGGCCTTAAATTCCCTTCTTAGAGACTTTGGCGCTTGATAGCCTCTGATTCTTTCCCAAAGCTACTGATGAAATAATAGCAACTCTCCAAGATTATAGTGTTATCTGCGATGTTGGCTGTGAAATTGGACCTTGGTTCTTGAGTTCAACGAAGAAAACTCAAAATTATAACTCAGAGCCAAAAACTCAAATTATAAGCTAAAGTTTATTTAGAAAGTTACAGAGGTAGAAGAAGTCAGCCAGGTGGGCTGCATAAGCTCAGGAAACGAGTTGCAGAAGCAAAAGGAGAGCCCTTGGAGCTTAGGGGAAAGGCAAAGGAAATGCTCCTGAAGGGAAGAAGAGCGGGAAAGGAAAAGCGCGGTGTGCTCCCAAGAGGGGAGGTGGGTGCAGGGTCCTTCATCCTGAGGGTTTTAAAGCCTGAACATGTAGGGGAGGTCTTAGGGGAGGATCTCAATAAAATAGTCATCAGCTTTATGCTGATGCATGAAAATGAGATTTCTCCCCCTGACTTCATCAGTCCTTGGGTGTGTCTGGCAAAAATGGCACTAGCTGGATTTCTGCTATCTCCCTGAGTAGGGTGATTTAAGCTATTTAGCCTCTACTTGGGGAGAAGTAGAATCCATTTCTCTATTAAAAAAATTTTTTTATTTATTTATTGTAGATAAAGAAGAAGGGAGGAGAGAGAAAGAGAAACATCAATCTGTTGTTCCACTTATCTATACATTCATTGGTTGATTCTTGCATGCGCCCTGACATGGGGTCAAACCCACAACCTTGACGCAACAGGACGACGCTGTAACCGACTGAGTACCCAGCCAGGGCCATAAACCATTTACTATTAAGTGTCCTTGGTTAGGGAAGATAGGATTTTGCAATTTACTAGATGGCTGTAAACTGCTTGGTCATTCATCTGTCTCAGTTCCCCTATTTCACTTGTCCTGGCTTACTTGCCCGTCTCAATAGCAGGTTTAAAGTCCATTCTTTCTCCTCTCTCTCCCCAGGTAGTGAGAGGGGCAGGTAAAGGCTGAGGAAGCCAAAGAGTCACAGCACAAAGTCACAGAATATACCAGGCCAAAATGCATGGACAGATAGCCAAGTTGACACTCCACTTGTCAATTTTTCTGTTTAGCAGTTTCAAGTACTTATACATCTGTCTTTCACTTACTTTCTGTCTTTCTTCTTCCTTCCCCCTATTTTCAATCCTAGGCTGTACCTATTAGAATACAGAGGTGACGTATTCAGTAATTGTACTTAGTTAAGCTTCCTTGATCATAAGTAATGAAGGAGCATGAAGAATAATTAAAAGGACACATGTGGCGATAAGGAAAACAAGAGTCTCAGGGGAACACAGGGACAGTGGAACTGACCTCACTCAGGACCTCAGTATGGTGTTGGAGAACTGGAGGATTCCAACCTAACTCTAGGAATGGAATGTTCCTGATACCCCTCCAATTTATGGATCTCTTACCGCAAGAGTGACCCAGGGATTTTTTTTTTTTTTTTTTTTTTTTTGCTTGTGTTTGCTTCAACCACTTCTATTGCTACCATCTCTGTTCTGTTACTTTTCTCTAACTCAAAGTTATTTGTATTTATAACTTGGTATTACTCATGACTTCAGCCCACATTCACCTCAAAGACACCCCACCTCCTCAAGGTTTCACTTTAGGACCCTCACTTACTACTATTGTCTTGCCTTTTCCTGCAGCTTCTACTCCAGCTCTAGAAGGAAAAGAATTTGATTGATCATTGTCCCTGTCGGGCAGAGCTTTGGGGGCTAGACCAACTCAGGCCACTGCCTGACAATGGATAGGCTCTCTCTTGGTCACATGACATCTTCTGATTCAATTACTGATGGCGGTGAGAGAAGGCAATCAGGATCACATGGTCAAAACCCTGACCATCTTACGCTTAAGCAGCCAGCCAGGGTCACCTCTCTCTCCAGGCAACCATGGGCAGGGATCTTTTAGGAGTCTGGGGGTTCTTGATTGGCCTGTTCTGTATATGCAACTAATTTTGACTTTCCTTACTAAGGGAGACATATTGGAGGTACTTGGGCAGCCCAGGCATGCCCCATATTTGCAATTGCTTCAGAGCCACAGCCCCTTTTAAATTTTTTTTTTCTCAAGACAGATTGATCAGATCCTCTTTCCAAAGGATTTGGAATTAGGACACTAAGACAACCTAAGTCAGGTGATAATGGGATGGAGGCTTGAACTGAAACATCAAACAGAATTTTAGCTAGCACTGACACTGTAAGAAGCCAAAATTGCATATATGTTTACATTTGGGGAAGCAGAAATAGCCACTCCGCAGAGAAAAAAAAAAAGATATAACAAGCAGAAAGGTGTCAAGCAGCCCAATGAAAGATGGTCTTTCTGGCAATTTCCATTTCCTGGGTGGCCTGGTTGTGCTTTTTGTCTTGTTCTTAGAGATGTCCATGATGTTCCTTATTGTATCCTCCCAACTACCCAACCCCTTTTTTTCACTTGAGCTAGTGTAAAGAACTTTTTGTTGAGGTTATTGTCACTCACAAACAAGCTCTCTTCAACTAAAATGCCTACCTGCACTGTACAAAATGATTTTTTTAATCTTTGCCCAATGATACATTTATTGATTTGAGAGAGAGAGGGAGAGAGAGAGACATCAATTGTTGCCTCCCATACACGCCCCAGATGGGGACTGAACCCCAAACCTAGGTATGTGCCCTTACTGGAATCGACCCGAGACTTTTCTGTGCTCGGGAAGATGCTGCAGTAAACTGAGCCACAGTGGCCAAGGCCAAAATGTTTTTAAATACAGCTGTATTTTTTCTTCAAAGTGCCTGGGTAAGATCTTTTTTCCCTCTCTCCCCCAGGTTCCACTGGTACATGAGGAAATCCAGCAATGAGCCGCCAACCCCTCCACAGATCACCATTTTCTCCTCCATTTATAACGGTCACTTCTTGGTTTATTATATTAATTACTTTGGACTACCACAGACCTCTCCTCCTAGGTGTACGTTGCTATGAAATAATAACAGGGAGGAACAGAATCAAATGTATCCTTGAGGGCACTGATAGAGGAAAGAAGGCTGATTACTTATAAATTCTATGAAGATGTGTTGCTCATCCTGCCCACAGGAAAGTTCCATGAGAGGATGGAATTCTATATATAGTTTTACTATAATAGAGTCCCCCCACATGGAAGGAAACACCAGGAGGTAGGAGGGAACATGATTTCTCTCAATACCCTTCACGATGTTTTCTTCTTTAAACTCAGTCCTTTAGGCTGAAGCAGCTGGGCAGTGAGCAA